GGTGTTGGGTTGATGGTTGGACTCGATGATCTTAGAGGTCTTTTCCAACCTCAATGATTCTATGATTCTATGATCTCCTTTCAGCATTACACAGCAGGAGTTGCAACAGCAGTGGTAACACTACTAGCTCTGTGCTGAGTCATGTCCTCAAAGATGGATTAGGGACCATTGGCAGTCCATGTGTTGCAGCTTGAAACCTTGTAGTGAAGGGAGGTGGCTCCTTGCACCCCATCTCTTCCACCCTTGCTCCTGACTCAGCATTACACAGCAGGAGTTGCAACAGCAGTGGTAACACTACTAGCTCTGTGCTGAGTCATGTCCTCAAAGATGGATTAGGGACCATTGGCAGTCCATGTGTTGCAGCTTGAAACCTTGTAGTGAAGGGAGGTGGCTCCTTGCACCCCATCTCTTCCACCCTTGCTCCTGACATGGCAGTAAGTCACTCCTGATGATGATCAGAGCTGTCCTCACATAGGACATGCTCTTGCATCCTAAAAATCTCTCATCTTAATTTTTGAGAAGATAAGAGTTAAAACAAGAGCTGAGCTAGGATAACACAGAGGGAAGAGTTGTAATATTCTGCTAATAAACTTCATCTTGGGTTCCCTGTAGAGGGCATACTTTTCCTTCTGGGTGGTTGTAATCCTCCTATGAAAAGATTCAGTTCATCACCCAGCACCAAGCATACTGGGCATGGGTTTTAGCATATTTTCATAAAGGGGCCCAGCTGTGAAATATGAATGCCAGGGAAGCTGATTAAAAGGGAGTTACTTAGTTTAAAAAACTAAAAAAGACTTTTTTTTCAGTGGTGTATTGCACAAGAGAAAAGCCACTTTGGATAAAGTACACTTACCAATACCAGCTTTCAGAAGCTGACCATAACTGATGAAAGTGAGCACAGAGTTTGTTTTCAGAAGGGAGAAGGCTGCCTGATGTGCTTATTGATGAATAACATCCCAGCCTCATGCTAACTGCAGTCATGTGACAAGTAAAATAATTCATCAAGCTTCAGAAAGAAGCTGTCCATAAATGACCTTAAATCAGTGCTACAGCTGTCTGTCAATATGTCTGCATGTTGCAGTATCAAGGCCCATATAACACACAGTGGTTTGACTTCACTGCCTTCCATGCTGGTGGCGACCAATAGATAAGTGGGTGTACAAAGCATAATGGTCCAGATTTGGGACTGGTGACAATTTACTTTGTGGAATGGGTTAAGGAACAGCAGCTGGAAAAGGAGAAGTGTTGTCTGATATGTAAAACTGTCAGGTCCGTGTCAACATAGGTCATGCTCAGTGGCATGCTTGGCCTGGTCTGTACTGCTGTGATGCACTAGAGGTCAGTCATAGGATATCTCCAGCTGTGCTATGCTTTGGTCTTACTGTGACTGGAGGGTCAGGGTGGTGTTTAATGTGATGGGCCTGTAGCTGGTGTGAAGTAGTCTTGCATCACTGGCATCAGCAGGATAATTTCAGCTAAATAACTTCAGCAGGATAACTTCAGCTGAAAATCTCTCGCCGTTTATCTGGCATTTCTCTTGGGCTGCAATAATGTGTGAGAACTGGCTTGCTGCTTCACTGCTGCTGAGGTGAAACACAGGAAAAAAGCTTGTCATTAGCTATGGAAACAAGTGATTTCTTAGGATTGCTGTTACTGCTGTAATCAACAGTATATAAAAGAGCATTATAACTTCTACTTTCACAGAAAAATGAAGGAAACACTAATGGCTGCAGTACTTCTGGAGATTTCCATGTAATTTGATTGTTAAGTACCAGTTGCTGCATGTTGGTGAAAAGTTATTCTACTCCTCTTCCCTGTGTTTTGGGGGTGGGGGGTTATCTGTCATTTACAGCATGGTCTGTCTTTTTATAGGAAGTCAAGGTTTATGGCAGAGGGAATCCAATTAAAGTTGTAGCTGTCGACTGTGGGTTGAAGCACAACGTTATCCGTCTGCTGGTAAAGGTAGGTCAGTGCTTTATGTCCTTCATCTCTTGTTTTGCTTTGGTAAAAGCCTCGCCTGTATTCACTAGCCTCCCTTCCACCTGGACACATCCATTCTAGTAGCAGTTTCCCTCCTAAAATGAGGTACAATTTTTAGGATGATTTTTATGGACTGGGAGGTGTTTTCTGAACATGGTACACTGTATTGAGGGGGTAAGGAAGAGGACCTGTGCAGCAACCTCTCAGTCATGAGAAGAATTCCTAGAAGGTGGGCTTTAAAAAGGCAAGACACAGTCTCTCTAAAGAACAACCAAGGCAGGTCAACCCAACATTGTTAAAAATAAATAAACAGGGGAAAAAATTTTGCAGTGAGGGTGGTGAATGGCTGACACTGGCCCAGAGAAGTTGTGGAATGCCTGTCCTTGAAGATACTGAAAACTCAACTGACCAATGCCCTCAGCAACCTGCCCTAAAGTTGAAGTTACCCCTGCTTTGAGCAGGGATTGGACCAGATGACCTCCTGAAGTCCCTCCAGCCTGAGTTATTCTTTAATCCTATGATTCTGTGAAAATCTTCTCCTGTTGTTAGCACAGTGGTGTAGCAGTCCTTGCTTCTCTAGGCACACAGGAGGAATGAATGCAGTGTCCTCTCGTTCTCTAGATGTACAGGGTTTCCCTGTTTCTGTTTTTTAGGGGTTTTTTTGTGGATGTTTGTCCCGTTTTTGATGTGCAGAACTATTTCTGGCATGTCACAGAATGAGGCCATGAAGCCCTATTTTAGCAGTTGGGATGAATGCACCGTGTAGAGGTGAACATATTTTACGTGTGTGCATACACACATATTTTGCATTCCATTAGTAAGTTTTGATGTCTTTAGTGAACTTCAGACAAACTTGACAAACACTGAGATGGCTCAAAAAGACTAAGTCTACCAGTTTTGTGAAAATAATCTGGGCAGATAATGGAGAGAAGCCTCATTATTGACCCTGGCAAAGGAATGACTGAAATCCAAACTCACCTCTGGGACATGAGAGCATGGGAACAACCTCCTGACACAAATTCATTTGTTCCCCTCTACCCCTCATTTCTTGTTCCCTTGGTTTTTTCCCAGCGAGGTGCAGAAGTGCATTTGGTTCCATGGGACCATGATTTCACCAGCATGGAATATGATGGGCTCATAATCTCCGGAGGTCCAGGGGATCCCATGAAGGCCCAGGAGGTGATTCAGAATGTCAGAAAGGTACAGTGTAATAGCCATAGGCCAATTATTCTTGTTTATTTGCCTTTTTTTTAAGTGCCTGAAATCTAAACAGTTGGTTGTACTAACATGTTACGGACCAAATATCGTTCAGTCATTTCAGCTGCCTGGGATATTCCTCATCTTGGTTCACTGGGAGTTGTCTCCACACCAGTATTTACAATAAGGCTATACAGACCTTGGTGAACAATACATAGTAAACATGATTACCATGATTACCTTACCGGTGCCTTACAGTACCCTGTGCTCTTTCAGGACCTCTGTGACCTTATGAAAGAACCGCCCTGATTTCACAGTGCTCCCATTTGAAATAATGTCGTGCACTAAATGGCTGTAATGCAGAGCATCATTGCTTATTCCCCTCGGGTAGACAGAGACATCAAGCTGTGCTCTGAGGCTTCCCTCTGAAGCAGAGGAGAGGAGGAAACTTTCCTTTATAGGCTGTTGCCACCCTTGCATTCAGCTTTTTCCCAAGTCTGTGTGGCTGCTGTGAGGGAACTAGCATGGTTTATGCTGGAATTGCTGAACAGAGACACTCCAGTATCTCTTGAAAACTTTTTCATTTTAGGTCCTGGAGAGCAATCGCCCAGAGCCCTTGTTTGGAATTAGCATGGGGAATCTAATCACTGGAATAGCAGCCGGAGCTACTTCCTACAAGATGCAGATGGCCAACAGGTGCGGCAGCTCTTCTGCTTCCCAGGGCCCAGATAGACCAGCTCAGCATTGCAAAAGGCCACAGAGCAGCAGTGCTTTGCTTCTGAACTGCCTTGACGGGAGCTAGCATGGCAGTAATGTTACTTCTTCATTCCAGCCATTTTCCTTGCCTTTTATTTAAACTGCCATGTCATGCATTGCTTTTTTTGAGGGTGTTTTGAAAGTATGTGATGTAATTGATGCCCATCAAACTGAAGGATAGCAAAGTCTCTCCTAGGATTTATCATTTTGAGACTGGCTGCCAGTATTGAACAGCTACTATTGAACTGCTATGTATAGCCCCACACTTATCAGCTCTTCCTAATTGTGGCATTTGGACAAATCTAGCACTTCTGTCCCGTTCTCTGATCCTTTCTCTTTCAGAGGACAGAACCAGCCTGTCCTGAATGCAGTGAATGGACAGGCTGTCATCACTGCTCAGAACCACAGTTATGCCATCAACAGCTCTACCCTCCCACCTGGCTGGCAACCTCTCTTTGTGAATGCGAATGATCAAACGAATGAGGTGAGCTCATGCTTTCCAGATACCTGCACGTAGCAGCCTCTAGTGAGCGAAGGCTCAGTCTCACTTTATTTCACCTCCTGGAAGCTTGCTATCAGATTACAATTAGTTATCAGGACTAAACTTGATGATCTGACCATCTGCTTTACTTGGGGCCCGGCCTTACAGCCCAAAAGGGGGTGAACCATTACCACTGTTCTCCATACTAGCCCAAAGTGTAGGATTGCAACAGTGACCTTATGATTTCCCTTGAACAGCTGCCTTATTAGCTTCTGTGATTTCCCTACCATTAGTGGTGCTCACTCAGTTACTGTTGTCTCAGGGCTTGTGCTGCAGGTGTGCTAGCCTGTGTCACTGTTTTGTTGTGTTCATTCTGTGTTGCCCAGTGCAGAAAAGGAATATTATTGCAGTCTAATTTGGTCTGTTTCTGTAAATAGAATTCCAAGGACTAAAGTCATGAGAGAGAGAGGCAGTTACCTCTAGAGAACAACTTACGGGATCTAAGGTAGAGGTCTCATGTCAAGTGACGTCCTTGTAGGGAAAAAAGATTAAAAAATGCCTGGCCTCTGGAGGTTCACAGCTGAATAGGGGAAAGCATAGGAAGGAAAACACTATCCCATAGCTCAGTTTTGACAAGGTCAGACAGACATTGAGACAGATCTCAGGCTTTGTAATTGCCCCTTTTAAATCTTGTCCATTAGGCCCAGTGTTGTACAAGTCAGCAAAGTCTTGTTATTTATCAGAAAAATCATTGAAAAAAGGTATTTTCAAAAGCAATGTCCCCCATGGGAATATGCCTCTCCGTTGTTTTCTATAAATGTCCCACATCAAGTCTGGCAGATTGATCAGTGCTGTTCTGGCATATCCTGGCTATACTTTGCAGGATCGAGGAGCCGTAATTTCCAGCTGATGGTTTTAGAGTAAGTTTGTTGTTTCTCAGTTGCTGTTTTCTTTATCCTTACAGACATATCTAAACAGAAACAAATGTTACCAAAAAAGAAATTAATACAAAAAACTTGCAGCTGTTCGGTTCAATTTTTGAAATGAGTTTGTTTTAGCTGTGTTGACAAACTGAACCCTTCCATCCCCAGGCCTTTCATGTTTGCTTTAGCTGAAGATTGGAGACAAGTGTGATGGTGCTTTTGCATAAAGCAGGTGATAAGGTTGGACATGAGTCTTTTGGATCTAGAAGCATGACATTCTTTTATGTGAGCTAAAGGACCATTTCTGTGAGCCCCAAAGCAGCATCAGCCGCCTAAACTTTCATAGATGGAGAGGGACAAGGAGCAATGTTTTTTTTTTTAGCATGGGATGCACAAACAGGAACAGGTTTGGATGGGCTCTCATGTGCAGTCTGTTGCGTTCTTCTGTTTGAAAGAGAAAAAAACATTTCTTGTGACTGACCTGACCCATCACAGCTGGACAGGGCCAACGCAGGTTTCCAAATACTGACAAGCCATGGATTGAATATTTTTAAAAGATATTTCTATGTAACTAGAAGTAACATGAGCATTCAGGGAAAATGTGACAGACTGATGGCATTCTTTACTCTGAGGGCAGAAACTCATACCATAATGGATCAGCTGTGGTCAGTAGCTCACCTCTCATCCCTGTCCTATCCCAGCATCCCACCCTGCAGCTCTGGATGGCACTGTTGCTCTGTAGGAGCTGTTGGGACTCCTTTGTCCATTCCTAGGGGAAGCAGAACTATTTTTTCCTGGGTTCCTTCTTGAGGGACTTCTCTACTTCCATCTGGAATCGGGGGCTGTAAGCAATGACAGCTACAGGGTAGTCTCCCAGTGGATCATGCTGCTTAGTGCTATCAGGCCACACAAATGAGAAGTCTGTTTTCCTGGCTCCAGCTGAAACTACAAGCACTGTCTCCAAACTCAGTTTAGGTCCTTCATAGCTATTGCTTGTCCAGAGCAGTGGTCCCATTTCATCACAGGCCTGAAAATGACCCAGGGCAGAGATCATGTGCAAGGCCCTGTGTCAGCATTTAAAGTGAGTTATGGAAGTAAAGAGCGTGACCCAAATCCATCTCTCCTCTAAAAGAACCAACCAGATCAGGATGGTAAAACTTTTCATTCCATAATAGCCTTGTCCAAGGTGATCTTTTTTTGCCATGTATGTTTTTCTTCTCTGCCTGGTCCAGGATTACCTCTGGAGGGAGACTAGCCTATCTGCTCTGTTAAGTGCTTACAACTTAGCAGTGTTTGCTGTTGTAGTGGAAGTGATGTCTCCACTATGCTTCTCGTCCACCCACAGCTCAGTGGGTTATACAGGCATTGGAGCGTTAGCAGAAGATCAAGAGGCTCAATGACTCCTGAAATAAGACATCTTTTGAAGACTGGGAATGAGATGGGTGTAAATTTGGCAGCCCCTAGAAACACCCCAGTCCTTTGGCCTTCAGTGCTTACAGGGGAAAGGTTTGGCTTTCTGTTCTCTTGCCTGCTTGCAAGGAGGTTTCTAAGATGATTCTTTTGTTCCTGCAGGGAATTATGCATGAGACCAGACCGATTTTCACAGCACAGTTCTACCCAGATGCAAATCCTGGGCCAAGAGACACAGAGGTATGTGTATGATTGTATGAGAGTGGATCCGGGCTTGCTTTCAGATGACCTAGGGAGTACAGATATCTATCAGCTACAGTGACAAGTCTTTATGCTGGTGATGGTCCTAAATCTTGGTTTTTGGAAATGTCAGGATCCTAACAGAGGGCCCAGTCATGCATAGGCTTGTGTGTGCTTAGCTTGATCTGCAGCTAATTACAATCAGCAGCAAGGCATCTATTGACTTCTGTGTGCTTTGGATCAATGATTCCATTCATATGATGTGTATGCTTTGAGTCCTGGTGGGATTATTTGTGTGTTGGAAGTTACTGAAGTGCTTAAGCCTTTGCAGGATCAGGCTCAAATCTCTTGTACCTGGGGTGACTGCAAAAGGAAGAGGATTTTATTTTAACAGAAAAAAATACTAGCCAGATGCTTTGTAATAAAATCATTAATTTTCTAATACATTTTAGTTCCACTTTCAAATTTTATAATTACTGTAGAGTTATGTAAATGGATTCACACTTCTTCACTCTGGGTCTCCTAAATGAAATGAAATTTTAATCCCCCATCTGTGACTTCGCACAAATTCTGTAACAACTGGTTGCATAGTCACAGATTATGACTAAGCAGCAACAGCGGATGTGGAAGGCAGAGGAGGCATGTCTGAACATAAATAAACTACTTAGCATTTCTTGAGGGAGGAAGATGGAAGAATACATAGAAGTGCTTATTTTAATCTTAATTTGATGATGTTGATTAAACCTGCAAATAAATCTCTTGATATCAAGAAGTTTTCTGGCGATCTGATTGACTAGTGAATCTCGGAGAACTAAAAACAACCCTCAGCTGTGTCTTTTCCAAGTCTGTGCACTCCCACTGCTGGGATGGGTTTGATAACAATAGTGCATATCCTGCTAGGCGTACAGGACCCATCCATACTCCTTCCATAGGTAATTCCCAGCAGCCACCTTCAGGGGCTGTGTGGACAGAAGCTCTGCAAGTGTGGGGTCAGGTGGGGAGCCTGTCCCACTGCATGCAGCTGCCTGCATGCCAGCGGTGGTCATTCTGCCTCCCCTGCCTGGCCTGGCTGGAGAACACTTTTTTCACAGCTGCTCTGGGATATCCTCTGGAAGGACAATACTGATTTAGCACAACTGATGTTTGGATATACCTGTTCAGATCCCAGCTGTGTAGCAGGCACCATTCCAGATGGTTCCCTTGAGCTAGTTAAGTGTATGGTCTTCTGTATTTTAGCTTTTCATGCATGCTCATTCATTACACTGCCAGCCATATACAAGCAGAGCGTACAGACGTGATTGATATGTGTTTTCTTCCTGATATGACCTCACTTTCTTGAGTGCGGCTTTGTCAGATATGTCAAAGTTGTTAAATAAATTTCAAATAATGATCCTCTCTGATGGTGTAAATCTACCTTCTGAAGACAGCAGAGCAGAGTTGACAGCTTGAGCTCACAAATGGCCTGTTTTTTCCTTCTTTGCTTGGTATTTATTTAGTTCCACTTTGGCAATTAAATACATGTGCTTATTTTTCCTAGTTCCTGTTTGATTCATTTATTTCTCTGGTTAAGAGAGGGAAAGGCACTACCATTTCCTCGGTCCTGCCCAAGGCTGGAGTGACAGCTTCCAGAGTGGAGGTCAGTGTACAGCTACTCATTATTCATGCCTGTCAGTGAGGCTAAGAGCTTGTTAATTCCCACTGAACCCACAGTACAAAATGTCACAAAAAGCTGACCATGGAAGTCAAAGGAGGCTTCCCTTACAAAAGGCCTGTCAGCTGCCTTTCTCACAGTCATCAGGCGTCTCTTGCGTTATTAACTCTCTTTGCTTTAAGAAAGTTGCAAGATCTGATGTTTCATGTATTTTTCTTTGTAGTTCTCCCAAGAAAGGTACTCTCATAGCAGTGTATGAGGTGCCCTGGGATAATCTCACCATGAGATTTTGTGCCAGCAGCATAATGTTGATGCTCTGCTGCTTAGCAAATAAGTCTGAAATTCCTAGCGTGAGCTGAATTTCATACAGTTTTGCTATCTGAGAAGGCAGCTGGACTTTGTGGGCAGCCAAAATGAGGCATGGTTGTCTATAAGCACATGACACAATTAACACATTTATTGTATGCCCTATGCATGTCATGTGTTTCTCTAACCAGATATATGGGAGAAGTCCAGTAGAAATATTCTTAGAAGTAAAACTGCAGTGGCTTTGGAGGTGACTTTTCTTCTCTTGTTAGAACTTATGTTTTGTAATATGAAGGTGTTTAGTGCTGCACAGTCCCTGTTCATTTCAACATCCACTACCATGGGACTGATTTTTTTCATGCTGTTTGACACTTCTAGGTCTCCAAAGTTCTCATTCTAGGATCCGGGGGTCTGTCGATCGGTCAGGCAGGGGAATTTGATTACTCTGGATCCCAGGCTGTGAAAGCCATGAAGGTGAGAGGATACTCTGAAAATACTAACTTCATGTAATTTACTTTCCCTTCTCGCAGCTAACTGTGATCATCCAACTGTAGTATCACAGGGAAGCTGGTGAGAATAAATGACTATAGGGAAATTTAGACATTTTTTGTTTGTGAATTTGTTGGTTGAGTGATGTGAGTTAACCACTCAGAATTACCTTCCAAAGAGAGACATTTTCGAGGTTTCCATTGTAGTCTTCAAGCAGTTTGTTATTTGTGATGTATGACTAGTCACTCCAGGCTTGTCATATCGAATGGAAATGTAGAGGAGGAATACGGTCAGCTACACCTGAGCTGAAATTATTGAAACTTTTGTGATATGCTAACACACTGCAAGGTAGACAAGTAATAACAACAGCTGCGTGGTTGGCTGCTGTCAAGACTGTTACACAAAAGATTTTGAACTCCTTATCAAGGCAGTTTTTCTGAATGGCATTTATTTTAAATGGGATGAACTTTTTAAAGTTCATATATATCAAGTTTTTTTTCCAGAATAGATTCATAATCTTGAAGGGAATGAATGAAAAGTCATTCCTTTGGATGAATTTTGTCCAGTAAACTTACTACCTGGTTTCTGATGTTCCCTTTCTGAAGTTTGAAAGCTGTATTATTCTGAAGCAAACAAAAATGCATGTGTACTTCTATACGTGCCTGAGAAATGCATGCATTTAAAACGTGCTTGTGCTGAAGCATCCTGTGTAGTGCTCTCACGTGGTGGGTTTTGGGGTCTAATTCGCTCTGTCTGTTTCATGCTGCAGGAGTGCAAAGCACCTAGAAAGGGTGTTAGGGGAAAAGCTCATGCTAGGAGAAGGTGTAGAAGCATAGCAGTATTCCTGTGATGGGGTTATTACTGGTAATATAGCAGTTACTTGAGCCCCCTAGTTCATGTCTAACCTCATATGAAGAAGGAGGATAGCTTGTAGAGCTCTGTCTGACAGATTCAGAGCAGATGTAGCAGCTGCCTTCAGATGAGGAGATGATTGTGAGCGGCTCTGAGGCTGTTCTGATGTCAGGGCCATTCTATTCCTGTACTGACCCTGGAGTTGCGGAAGGAAAATATCAATTACAGTGATCTTAAATATAATCTGGGGTTGCTCTGGGTTGGTCCCAGTGTTACAACACATCTTGTAATGTATATGCTTTGTTTGTGTCCTGTATTGCTATTGCTGGCTACTAGTTCAAAGTGGCCATGTCATCAAGAAAACAAGAACGAGTTAGGAGTGGAGGATCCCAGAGTTGGTGAGTGCAGATAATGACCTGAGTTGGAAAGGAGGCACCTCTCTCTCTTTTTTGCTCTTTCATCCTTCAAACTCAGCTCTGGTTTGTGGAAGAAAGTGGGGTTTTTTTTATGATAAATCTCCCTGGCTTGACCTCCCACAGTGCCCTTACCCTTCCTGTGGCCACCAGCCGGCTGCTCTGATCTGCAGGCTAATCAGCCATTCCAGCGGCAGTGCTTGCACTTCCTGACCTTGCCTCTGGCAGAGTGATTTACAGTTGCATGTGGGAGAGAAGATGGTTGGTCAGTGGTTGCCAGGGGAAAGCTGCAGAGCATGGGTGGGAGAGAACAGGGACAATTAACAGGAGAAGAGAGATTTCTTTCCCCTTAGACTTCTCCTTTCTTCTTTTCTTTTTTTTTTTTTTTAATAAATAATCAATATGGATTCTTACTGCTGGATGTTCTGATTCATTCTGCTATGTACTGCTGTTCTTCCTAGTCTGTTGGATGCCGATTCATTATAAGAAGATGCTGTTGTTAATATTCAGTCCTATACAGTTAAATGGGCGCCTCTTTTAAAGAGTAAAACCCTGTGGAGCTGGGACTTCCCCAGTCAGTGAATTTGTATTTGCAAGAATGTTCATCAAAGGCAGGAACATCCTCTGAAGAACAAGACCTGGAAGCATCTGTGAACAACAGAGACTGGCTTGTGGTCATCTGAAAAACCTTCTGGATTACTTGCTGTGGGGATTCTCCCAACTGGTCTGAATACAGGTGGATATTACACAAAAAGAGGAATGGAGCCCTCCTGGAGTATTATTAATTCACTGTTTTAATTAAGTTGTAACAAAGATCTCCAATCAGGATGGGTGGCCATTGCGCAGAGTGCTATGTGCTTATAAAAAATGAAAAAGGCAGAAGTTGAAGGAAAGGGTTGTAAGGGCAAACAGGAAGTGGATTAAAATCTAACATCCTGAACAGCTGGGCCAGAGGATGTGGTATCAGTACAATGTGTCTCTCTTAGCACAGTGAGCATTAATTCTCTCATGAATTATCTTCCTCATCACTGCTGGTCCTTAAGATACCTTGTCCCAGATAAGTAGGAAAGAAAGGGCTGAGATGTACAGTTACTCCAGCTTGTTGGAAAGTGATATACCTCTCCCTCCCCCATTCATTTCAACAGAATTATAGCTATGAATTTCTGAATACATTTATTAGAGAAGAATGTTTTGATTACAGATCCACCCTTTTTTCTCAGCACCACCATGAAAACTACCCTGTTTGGGGTCATTTGTCTAAATCTGAAATATTTTTCCATAAGGATTTTATCTCTTCTTTCCCTTTCCTGTTCCACACATTTCCAAGGAAAGTGTGCTTCAGTAAAGAAAATCCAACTTTTCATGGGCAAAAAAGGTCAGCAGAAATTTACAGCCAGTCTTTAAGGCAGTATTTTGAGTTATCAAAGGAAGGAGAAGAAATGTTATCCAATACCTTCACTGAGCAGTCAGAGCTTTGAGTGAGAATCCCACTGCTGCAGGTGGGCTATATATTTGTTCCCCCAAACCAGTGGGTAAAGTAATCACAAATTTTAAACAAACACAGAAAAACCCTATGGCATTTTCATTATTATTGTGAACTGGGGAAAAATAGAAATTGCTATATTGGTCCCAGCAATGCTTCCATTGCATATGCTCGAGGAATGGCTGACTTAGTCTGCCAACCTTCTTCCTGTTTCTTTTAACTCTTTTTTTAATCTCTGATCACAGTTCCTGTTTTTAATGAGAGCCAATCTCCGCAACTTCCATATAGCAAATCTTTCTCTTAAAATGTATTTTGCATCTGTAATTAGCACTGTTTGCAAATTGTTTGTTTGTTTATAGAAGTTTATTGCCTTGCAAGAAGTTGATGGAGATTAGAATGAGTTCCCATAAAAATGAGGCTACAGCCTTTGCACTTCCCAGTCCACCCTTTCAACAAAGCAGTAATACATTGTTCTTTATCTGCTTGTGGTTGACGTGTTTTTAAAGTTTGGCCACATTCTGGTCTCATCATTATTAGCAAAACTTGGTTCGCTTCCTCATTACGCACTAGTATTTCAAGAGTGAGGAGAGTTGATCTGACTCAGACTTTTCTACTATTGAGCAAGCTGTAGTTAATTTCTGTCTGTAGCCAAAAGAGTGGCAAAACTCCCATTGGTATAGCAGGAAACAGATAAACTTTATTATCTCTCTATCTTAATTTCTCATCTATGACAGAGAAAAAACAGTGTGAAGTTTTGGCTAACCTTTGTCTTGCGTATAGCGGCAGAGTTTGTCTTTTAGTATGTGCAATATCAAATAAAAAGGTTATGGGACAAGATTTTTCAAGTGATAACACCAGGAAAATTAAAATATTTTTATGGAAAGTCAAAGCAAAAAATGTATGCTTGTACTGTTACTAGTCAGTACAAAAATCTGAGAACTACTTGGATACCCATGATCAAAGACCTACTGCTTGGCAAGAAAAGATTGGGTTTTGATTAAATTTTTTTTGCTTTGTCACTTTTAGTCTGACTTCCAATAGAAGACAGACATGATTATGCTGGAGTTTGTTCCTGTCTCCCCTATGTTACTCCTAAATGTGTTAAACAATTTCCACCAAATTTCTGAATCAGGTGGGAATCTCCATTCCCTCAAGATTCACAGACAGGCAGAGGCACAAAAGTAAAGAACTGGCGTTAGCTCAGCCTGGTACAAGATACCAGAAATCCCTTATGGGAGAGTACATAAGGAACCAGGCTTTCTAAATTCTGCTGTTGGTGAATTGCTTGTTGAACCCCATCTCTCCTTGCTGCTGCTGCTGTTAGCTCTTTTTCCAAATATGCCTCATTTTAATGCAGATTTTCATTTTTCAGGAAGAAAACGTGAAAATTGTCCTCATGAATCCCAATATTGCTTCAGTGCAGACCAATGAGACTGGCTTAAAGCAGGCTGATGCTGTCTACTTCCTCCCCATCACTCCACAGTTTGTCACAGAGGTCATCAAGGCGGAGTGTCCTGATGGATTAATTCTGGGCATGGGTGGCCAGACTGCTCTCAACTGTGGTGAGTACGATACAGGCACCTTGGCAGGCAAACTCATGGTTTTCACCATGTGTTCAGCAGACTCTTATTTGTGCAGACATGCAAGACCCATGTGCCTCATACATTGCCCAGGTTACTAGGTGATACAGGCAGAGATACTGACCATGGGGGAGTGAGTAATTGCTAAGCTGTGAACATAACATCTAATTGCTGGTTTTGATGCTTAAAAGTAATTCATATATCCTGCTTTGCAGCTTAAGTCTTAGTTATCATAGTTGAATTGAGGATATTCAGACCACCTTGAGGCAGAGATCAAAAGGAAAACTTAGCTTCATTTAGCTTCTCGCAACAGTATCCAACCGTGTTGCAGATGATGGCCAAGCAGTAACCTATAATAGTCCTAGGTTTCATAGATTTTAGGACAGAAACTTTCATGTTACAGTTCTAATACTGATAAAGAATAATAAAATTAACTGTTGATAAGACCAGACAAGTTGTCAGCTAGTCAGATATCTTCTGAATACTTTCTTCTTCATCTGCCATGTGGCTTTGTTTGCTCTGCAGGAGTGGAACTCTTCAAGCAAGGAGTCCTGCAGGAGTATGGTGTGAAGGTCCTAGGTACATCAGTTGAATCCATCATGGCTACAGAGGATAGAAAGCTTTTTTGCGATAAACTGGCTGAGCTAAATGAAAAGATTGCTCCTAGCTTTGCAGTGGAATCGGTAAATCAGACAATTTTGAAGATGTGATTACTATTACTGTTGCCCATTTGAGTTATTAAAAAAAAAAATTATAGTTTTGTTGAGTGAAAGCTGAATACAGCTGTGGATACTGTAGCTTGTACGCTTTCATCAGCACTCCACAGTGGTTGATGCTGGTTCACCATGATTTAAAATGAGTGAAAATGCAATTAAGCACTTGGGTAAATTAGCTTAGGCTTTCCATTGACAAGAAAAGTAAATTAGGTTGGGGTCACTTCTGTGCTGCAGCACAAAAACCTATAACATTTCGGTGGCTACTTTTTTAAAAAAAATCTTACACAAGCCATTTAGACTTAGGTTTTCAGGTCCTCAGAATCAGCAGTACTGAAATCCTTCTTGAGGACGGGAGTGTGAAAACAAAAAATTGGTTCAGTGGGAAGGCCTGTTTGAGTTTGGAGGAAATTAAACAGGTCGTAAGCCAGGATGTCTGTTAGAGGGGTTATTTCATGCTAAAGTCTGTGAAGGCAGACCAGGTAAGGACATTGTCCATGGAAAGGCAGTAAGGAAGTCCACACATAACTAAGGACAGAAGCCACCTCCTTGAGCCCCCATGTTCCATTTCTGCTGTTTGGCAGAACAAAGCAATGTTACAAACCTGACTTTTATTCTTTTCATTTTTTCTTCAGACAGCTTAGTGTCTTACTGATGGGATTTCCAGTTAACCGTGTAACCAGAGGGCAGTAAGGAAGTCCACACATAACTAAGGACAGAAGCCACCTCCTTGAGCCCATGTTCCAGTTTTCTGCTGTTTGGCAGAACAAAGCAATGTTACAAACCTGACTTTTATTCTTTTCATTTTATCTTCAGACAGCTTAGTGTCTTACTGATGGGATTTCCAGTTAACCGTGTAACCAGAGTTGAAGACTTTATTCATCTTAATTGTTATCATATCTCTGAAATGTGTTCCCCTCTCCTTTAAGATTGAAGATGCTCTGAAGGCAGCTGAAAAGATTAGCTACCCAGTCATGATACGTTCTGCTTATGCCCTTGGTGGTCTGGGGTCAGGCATATGTCCTGATAAGGAAAGTTTGCTGGACCTTGGTATGAAGGTATGTCTGCAGTTGCAAGCTCTGGGAATAGAGTCTGGACATCTGATTTTCTTAGATATTCTTCTAATAGTCACGGACACTGGAATTGTACATACCCTACTTCTCATCTTACCTGTAAAATGTTATCCTGACATCCTTCTAATGCCCTCTTTTCATAATTCCTGCTGACTTGGGTAATGAAAATGGTTAAATGACAGATCTGTTAAATTTATGAGAAACAAGTCATAATTTGAGCAAGTGTTTCAGCAATTTTGGTCTGAAAAGAAACATAGTGGACTATATTCACCTACTTTCAGGAGTAAATGGTACATGGAAGATTTCAAGGAAGTTGAAACATTCAAAATGCTGAGTGGTAACGTAGTGTCAGGGATAGAAGAGCTGGGAGGCTTGGGCCTCTGCTGAGTTTCTGTCTAAAGACGGTATTTTTGCTAGGTCAAAAGCTCATGTAGAGTTTTAACAGGATGACACTTCATAATTTGACATCCACCAGCTGTCTCTGGCTATGAAGAGACAGCTCTCTTTCTGTAGGAAATCTGGGATTGTTTTTTATAAATTTGCTGTGAAAAGTAAACAGATAATTGGGGAAAACAAAAAAGCTTTTTTCCTTGGCAAAAAATGCAGCATTTTAGGAAATACCAATTGGTCTCTAAAATTTTTGGTTTTGTCTTTTCCTGATTTGCTGAACCTCTTAATCTTTCATGTATCTCTAGTAAGAAATACTGCTGATGCCATTAAGAGCTGTATGTGAAAATGACATTTTTGTGTTCCTCCACACTGCTGTCATGCAAAAAGACTTTGGGTCCAGTGTGCTTAGTGCTCAACAAACATCTGCTCAGGCAGTGCCTGTTGCAGGGAGGCTCAGTGGACGGGACTGACAGATGCAGGAGGAGGCAGTGCATGCAGTAACGCCATCTTACGGATCGATGGCTGAGGTTGGAAACATGTTGCTTGCCCAAGCTCATGCATGGTCTGTGTTTAGAGAATGCAGAAATTCATCCAGAAACCCTGGGCGTGCAGCTGTCTGAAGGGTTTATATCAAAACATTTTTCAGTAGGAAAACCTGGTTTTGATCAGCATTTCTTGGTGTTTTTTTAAAAAAGTGGTTTTGAACATCTCCGTTTTTCCCTGAAATCTGTAAAACAGCTGCTCTTTATAAACATCTTATAATCTGTAAAATTTTAGAAGTCAGGCAGTTCATATTTTTAGTAAATTTCTCATGTTTCTGAAACTTTCCTTTTTTCCTACCAAATGTCTGATTCTGTTTTACTTCCTAAGTAAATGTTTTCATTTTCTCAAAAATTATACTAAAAGAGCTTCAGCATTTTGAATGGAGAACAATATTTCAAAATTTACAGTGAAAAACAATTTGGGTCTTATTGAATTAGCTCAACTTTGGACGCTCATTTCCACAGCCCAGCAGAAACTCCATTCTTTTCAGTTATGAAGATGATCCATAGTAATTCTGTGAACTGGATTTTCAGACACTGGACTCTGAATTGTATATAATTCAGATAACTGAACACCTATGGATATTTCATAGCACAGCTAGTTCAAGTAATCTGGCCCTGAGTTCATGTCTCCTGAGTCTGCTCATGTTGAGTGAGAGAGGGCAATAGACAGTAACACAGGAGCAGTATAGATTGTTTTACAAGTGTGGTTAGGTGTTCCCGCTACATCACCACAAATTCAGTGCCTGCTTAGGCCGGGTGTGAAGTGCTACTCTTCAAACTATTTTTTCTTTTTTTCTTTTTTTTTTTTTTTTTGTGTGCGAGTTTGGCAACTGAGCTAAAGGCAACATTTGAATAACAGCTTGAGCTAACTACAGAGGGGACCAGACTGAAGACTGATTCATGGGCAGCATTAAAACAAGAAGCTTTGCTAAAGGATGGATTGATAATGTGCCTGTTACTTTCTAGGATTTTAAGCGAGTATTGATTAATGTTTTCTATCTGCTAATATTAAGGCCATTTATTCATTTAGATTATGCTCATTTACCAACAAACGATATTTTTCATTGTTGTCTCTTGTGCTGAGGAGTGCTTTCAAGATTAGTTTAAGAATAAATCACGAATCTTGCTTCTGGTTAGTATGCCAATGATAAGCAGCATTATTAGTGCTATTAATTACGTAGTGTTTGCTGGCACCCACGCTCCCCATCACTTAGTCATTTAGCTTTCTGCAGAGTTCTCTAACTGAAGTCTGTGGGGCTGCCCACATACATAAACAAAAGTATGTGTCTGTTGCATGACTGAAGCCTTAGATATTTTTATATTCCTATTGATTATTTATATTCCATTGCAAGCTCACATGCCCTGCCTTTTTTCCCATCAGATCACATAAATATTTTCTGTGCCTTTCAAATGAAGGTAATGCAAAATTTTTTTTTAAAAAAGAGAACTATAAAGTGCTTGTCATTGGTGCTATGAACTTCACTTATCTTCATCTTTCAATTTTTGTGTTGGTCTGGGATGTCTGGAGATAAGTCACAGAAGTCTTAAATATGGAACATGTTCTAATAAGGTTTTCTTTTTTTACTGTTCATTTTCCCTAACATATTCCCAGGCATTTGCGATGACTAACCAAATTCTGGTGGAAAAGTCAGTTGTTGGCTGGAAGGAGATAGAGTATGAAGTTGTGAGAGATGCTGCTGATAACTGTATTGCTGTCTGCAATATGGAAAACATTGATGCTATGGGAGTCCACACAGGTAGGCTTGGGCACAGGGCGGCTCACTGGAAATGGCTCATTAATTTTTTTATGCAGTGCCCTTCTGCCTGCTGTTATTGACATAGTTTCATGATTGATGAAGTGGACTCTAGAAATACTCTTCAGCCAGTTAGGGTGTGAAACAGATATTTTTAGGCTAAACCTACCCCTATGATCCTGTTTTCTGTAAGATTGGCTGGCCTCTCCGACTCTGGGCCTATAACTATCTGTGCTTTTCATCAGCTGTGCATCCACAGGTTTGAATGTCTGTAGTAACTTCATTACTAGCAATAGGTTAGCAAAGAAAGTGACCTGTGTGGCTAGAATTTACTGCTGCTGAACTGTTTCTCACTTTCCTCCTCTGCTACCTTGTGACAAACAGGGGATTCTGTTGTAGTGGCTCCAAGCCAGACACTCACTAATGAGGAATTTCAGATGCTGAGGGATCGTGCCATCAAAGTTGTCCGACATTTGGGCATTGTGGGAGAGTGTAATATCCAGTTTGCTCTGCATCCAACTTCCCTGGAGTACTACATCATTGAAGTTAATGCCAGACTCTCAAGAAGTTCAGCTTTGGCCTCCAAGGCAACAGGGTAAGATTATTTAAAAAAACCAAAATACTACAAAACAAACAAATGAATAAACAAAAACTGAGGGGAGAAGAACAGAAAGAGAGAATTACGATAAGGGACTTGGATCAGTGTATTATTTAAATATGTAAGTGACAGCTGCAAGGAAGAAGTGTTCCTGCATCTGCTCTCCATGCAGTTAAGACAAGGAGGCGCAGGCTTAATTTGCAGCAAGGAAGACTGCAGTTGGCTGTTAGGGAGACCTCTGGAGCGGTCAGGTCAGTAAGGTCCAGATTTCTGCATGGGACGCTTCTAAGAACAGTTGTCAGCATCTGCTCGGATTGACCCTTGGCAAGTCGGTCCTGCTGGGAGATGGAAGAAGGGGTTGGTGAGCCCTCCAGGTCCATTCCAGCCTGCCGATGCTGTTACTACAAATGGAAAAACTCCTAGGAGGTGTGTGTGGGGGGAGCCTAATAGCTGTCCTTACAAAGCATATCCACTGTATCCATATGTTGCCTGCAAATCATCTCTGGGACCCAGAGGACACAGTTATTAATGAGCTGTCTGTCAAATTGATGCAAATGGTATTGCTAGCTGCCTTTGTTTTGTTGGCTAATCTTAAACTAATCAAGATAAGGATGGTCAGAGCAGGCTGTTTAAAAATTGGCTTCTTAATTGCACTTTGCAGATGCTGTTGAGAGGCACAAATTAATCTCTAATTTGCAGTTCTCAACAACTCTTGTGGCTGTTGAAGTGCCATAGCAGACTGGAGATAAGCCATGATGTTGGACAGTGGGCGTTTGATTGTTTTATTTTTGGATGACAGACTTGCAGCAAAACATATCTGTTTATGTGGTCTCACTGTGGGTGTGACAGATATTTAAAATGGCGGCTTTGCAGATAATAAAGCAAGTCCCAGATCTAGGTAGGTAGCTCTACAATGTGTTAGGGTAGGAAGCTGGATGGACACTGCTGTGCTTGGGTACAGTAACCTTCCATTGTGTTAGGGAGGGAAAATAAGCTCACATCTGTTTAATTTGATCCACTCCTAGGATTTGCAAAAGCAAAGTACTTCCCACTCTACCATTCTCTCACTCTCCTCTATGGCAGGTACCCATTAGCATTCATTGCTGCCAAAATTGCCTTGGGGATCCCCTTGCCAGAAATCAAGAACGTGGTGACAGGAAAAACCTCTGCCTGCTTTGAGCCCAGCCTGGATTATGTTGTTACAAAGATACCCCGCTGGGATTTGGATCGTTTTCAGCATATGTCCAACCGGATTGGAAGCTCCATGAAGAGCGTGGGAGAGGTGAGTGCAAGACTCTCCTTCCCTTCCATTCTACCACTTGGGAAAGTAATTCCTCTTTCTTGGAAACCCTCAGAATATCTGTCTTCAGGGACCTAATGGATTTTGAAGATATTTATTCAGCTCAAATGATTTTTATCCAGTACTATAATTAATTGAAATGAGTTAGGACTCTGTAATCTTGGATACCACAGTGTGGATTCATAAATGGTTTGACCCCTAAGGGAAGAGACCACTTTGGATCACCTGAGGTTGACTTCATTCTTAACGCTCACTACAGAACTCTCAGAGTTATTTTTTTGTTTGGGGTTCTGTAGTGGTGGTTAATTAGAGTATAACTTCAAGAGTTGTAGTCTGTTAAGATTTTCAGTGATGCCGATGAGCCGCAGCTCTCAGTTGTTCCCATAGTTATTTGTCCTCTCTGTTAAAACCATATGCCAAATCTCAGCCTACTTCTGCTCGTGAAATCCAAACACAATCTGTAATCTTGCTGTGAAGTTTTGACTTCTCTTAGTAATTAAGTCTCTTATATCTGGAACATGACGGTGTGACTTTTAAACCCTGATTTTAAGGTGTCTGGGACAGTAACAGCATTTTCAGACCATGTTTTAAGAGGAGAGAAATGAAGCAAAATGGGTAAATTACCCACTTAATTAGTTAATTACATATCAGCTACCAAAGCAAAATAATTAATTGTGTATTTTTTCAGCTGCCTTTTTTTCCTAATGCTTTTCAAGTAGCTATTTTATTAAATTATTTTGACATGTGAGACCTTCCTAACATTAATTCTACCTTGCTCAGATAACAAGCCTTCATCACAACGGGAAGGATTAATTAGAACTTGATTATTCAATGGCAGTTTTGGCTTTTAATGGCAATGAGGTTTTCATTCAGTGAGTTGATGCTTACTGATATTAACCCTCTCTGCTTAGGGTTTTTTGGACTGTTCTGTAGATCTGGGGTTCCTAAATACAGTTGCCTTGTGCACCATCAGCTGTAAACACTTCCTGGCCATACACATTTGCAGGAGGAACTACTGAGTCCTTCCAGTGGTCATATATCACAAAAGCAGAACTGCATGAACCCCCTGTCCTTCTCAAGGCAGGATGCTGGGTAAAGGAAGGGGAGAGATATAGGAATAGTCAGTGCTCCAACTGTGCAGGTCTATGACTGCTGGGGGGTGAACTGAAACAGGGATGGAGAAGCTTGAGAGGTGCAGTTTGCAGCTGGTGGAGGTACTCAGCAAAAAGGTTAGTCTCCAGGACCTGTGAGTAGGAGGGGGTGTCTTTGAAGCAAAGAGCTTCTTGCCACTATGTCTCTATTAGTATGGCACAGTCGTCTCCCTAGGCCTGAACTTGAAGCCAGATCGCAGCACCTACTGCATTTTTATTAATTGAACAGTCTGGCCTGGCCTGGTTTTTCCTGAGAGCTGTTGTGCTGGGCAGTGGGCCTGGAGCTGTGAGAAAAGAGAAAACAATGTTATTTTTTTTCTTTGACGTTTTTCAACATTGTGTTTGAGAAGATTTTTATGCTGTTAGGGTTTCACTGCTCTGAGAAATAAAAATGTAGAAATTTGAGAAAGGGCTCTGCTACCTCACAGATTTCCACAGAGGAAGACTTGTTTTCTTATTAGATGTGATGTCAAGATTGAAGGAGGGAAACCCCAGTCCTGCTATGCCAAGGAGGAGTAATCCTTTAAGAGAGCCCTCAGAGGGGAGAGTCATTGTTAAATATAATTTAAAGGAAGAGGAACAGATTTCTTCTGAACCTTAGAATTCCCACTGTGAGTTTCTATCTCTAACAGGTTGTTAAACAGAAATATCCTTCTATATTACTACACCCATGCTGCTGCATAATGCTTCCCTCTACTAAGTGCTTCAAAGCAGTTTACAGAGGAGAGCAGCGGCTTCCTGCATTTTACAGATGGGGAGACAAAAGCAGAAAGCAGTCGCTTGTCTGAAACTCCCTGTTGATATTGGCAGAGTCAGGCCTAGAAGTGGGACTCCCAAGGCTCAGTCAGCTCTGCCTGTCTTAAAGCCAGCAGGACTGTCTAGGGAGGAGGTCCAAAGGCTGTAATCTTTCTGTATGTCTGTATGTCTATCTTTGTGGTTTAAATTTGCACTCCTCTGTTATTCAGGGGGTAGCTGGGCAGCAGCTCGCCATAGCTAATGTGGAAGTGTTCTCTGTTACAGGTCATGGCTATTGGACGCACTTTTGAAGAGAGCTTCCAAAAGGCCCTGAGAATGTGCCACCCATCTGTAGATGGCTTCACTTCACGTCTGCCCATGAATAAAGCCTGGCCAGCCATCTTAGATCTCCAGAAGGAACTCTCTGAGCCGTCCAGCACTCGGATATATGCAATAGCCAAGGTAACAAAAGATAGAAAGCCTTTGACCTATGTCCCTTGAATTATAATTACCAGACTGGGTCAACTGAGGTGACAGATTCTTCACCCCCTTGCTTCCCTGTGTCAAGCACACTGGGACCACCTTGTGTAGGATCCTTGCTATTGAAGTACAGATATTCTCTATCGCATGTAATTTCCTCTGCAGAGCATAATAGCTGGGTGGGTATATGACTTTAATTTTTCCTGCTGACATCTGTGTTTTCCTGCATCTTCTGTACTCAGGTAATGTGTTTGCCTTTTGGTACAATCTTAGCCAATGCTCATTGCATTCAGCAGCAGGTACGTTCCTGTGTCCTGGCACTTTAGTTTGTAGCTGAGTGTTAGTGGAGACCTGGATCACTTTCCTTTGCTTGTTCCTATAATATAATTTTTTGCTAAATATTGGCTAATGTTCAGCCCTGATTTACACTAGTGTAAGTGTCAGTCAAAGTTGGCCAGTTTTGCAGATTACCATTAATTTTTAGGAAGGGAGGAAGGAAAAAATGAAGATCCTTTTCAGAACTGAAACAAAGGATGATAAAGAGTGGCAAGATGCAGTCTGAGAGAGCACTGTCTTGTTGCAATTGTTGCATCAGTATGGGCTTGAAACTAAAAAAAAACCAAACCAAAACAAAAAACTGTGTCAAATCTAGGATACAGGAAATCCCGTTCTTTGAAATAGGGTTACCTTCCCCTAGCATTCTTTTAACCCCTCTCCTGTCACACCGGGCAAATCGCTTCATCTTTCAAGGTGTTACTGTAAGGGTAGCTAGGGTGTGAAATTATTTCTTCCTTCAGCTCCGTGGTGTTTGCCTGTGTATATCACATGGTAAATGTGGGGTTAGTTACTTTACAAGATAGGTGCAATTTCACACTTTGGTTTTGCCACAGCTAACTTGTCCATCAGTCCATACCCTCTATGAAGAGGAGGGGACAGCTGTCTTTTATAGCTCATACTTGCCTGTTGGTATTTTTAAGATTGCAAACCTTCCTGGCAGGGAAATCCCAGTTACTATTTTTTCTGCCCCTGACTTTGTGTGGTGGAGTCTTTAAGCCCTTTGTGCTCATGTGTAGATACATCTCATTACATCCTCCACATGAGTGTGGGGAGCTGAGGTTGTGCTGTATTTGTAAAAAGGTTTTTACATAGCTGTTCCTCTTATAAATGGCCTGAACGAAAAGCACAAGATGTTCTGTAAATGTGTGGCTTGTCCAGCTGTTGACTCTCGCTTTTCAAGCTGGGGAAATGTGTGTCTTCATAAGTGTAGAACATCATTCAGCAGCTGTGCTTGGTCTTTATTATAGCTTTCTCTTGTGACTGAGAGAAAAATCTTGCTTCTTGTTTCTCTGAGTGGCTCAGAGAGCTTTTATGAAAGGTTAATCTTAGCCCCATGTTAACATAGGGGATCTGGGGAGATGAAGGTGAGTTTGGGCCCCACTGAACATTCTGGGTGTTCCCAGCTGGTGGCATTTTCACTGGGAGCTGTCAAAAAAAGCAAGATCAAAGTCTTAATCCCTGCCTATAAAGAGCTGCCTCTGTCTGACACAGTGCACTAATTCATCCTCGTTAATAACTGAGGCAAGCAATATCAGTAAGAGGTACTTCTGGCAGCTGGGGCTAGCCTGCCTGGAAATCCCTTTCCAGCTTGCTGACATTTAAAAGCCAACAGTTAGTCCCCGTTAGCCGTCAGCTTTGTTTGAAATGGGATGGAGCTTTGTTGTATGTCTTCTCCTCCCCGCCAAGCCCCACTAGTCAACTCTCCAAGGCTTTTTACTTTTTCTCTCTCCTTTGTCTGTTGGATGATGAAAACAGTAACTGTTCAGGTGAAAGGGAAGGGAGTTCAGCTGCCATTCAGAGCTATTGCTGTTGTAATGTAAAAGAAGGCACTAGGAGAAAGGCTGAAATAGATGAGACTTGTTCCTTGGCCAGAGTGGCCAAGTGCTGCAAGGTTGTAACTGCCTGATGAGCAGGGCTGCTCAGGTTGTATCAGATCTTTCCTGGGCCCTCTTAGAGATTGTATACAGGTGGCCTCAGAAGACTTACGCTGTGGATTCAACCCACGCTCTGTTTCATACCAGGGCCCTGGTCTCCCTACTTGTCTGCACTACAGATGTGTTAGTTTGCACTTGTGCTCCTGTCCACAGGCAGCTAAATACTTCCTTTGGTGAGGAGCAGGGATGGGACTGAAGGAACAAGGGTGCCGGCCCTAGAGACAGCTCGGGCAGCTGAGCCTGCCCTCCGTTGCTTGGCCTGGAGACCAGGCTTGCTCCCTGACTCACAGTGTGAAGGCAGTCCTGTAAACCCCTTGGCTTCCCAGCATGGGGCCAGTGTCTACTGGATGGGATGCTCTTGAAGGAGAGCAGAGCTCTAAAGTCATGCTGTCCCACTGTGGATCACTCCCTCTTCTTCCACCGTGTGTTTAGGCTGTACTCCTTCATGTAGGTTTGAATAGAGTAAAGCCATCGGAGTGCTGTCCAGGGCCCCAGATCGAATCTTACAGGGATTTTCTGCCTGGAAACCTGATTTGCCTCTGTAGTGTGGTGATTTGGGAGCAAGAACTGTCTGCAAACTCATTCTTCCTTCCCAGTCTCCAGATTTATGCCACAAGGGTGAAGGTGGTTTATTTTCTCTGCCCCTCCTCTGATTAAGGAGGGGAAGGCATTTGTTCTTTTGTTTCCCTTGAAGATCCCTAGGACTTTTAAATAAAGTGTCCTAAGCAGATTAAGTGTATGTGGTCATGCTACCTGTGTGTGTATGTGTGGCTCAGGGACCATTGACTGAAGGTTGGAGGTCCTCAAGACATGCAAGTCTGCACGTGTTTTGTGAAAATAGATGGGCAGAAGAAAGACCTGCTCATGTCCCACTAATGTGGCAGTGTGACCTTACCTTCCAAGCACTAAGGAATCAGGATGGGAGGGACCCCTTACCAGTTGCCTCATACCAGTATTATACCCAGAAATGTGTGAGAAGCCCAGCCTTGTTATGGCCAGTGCTCAGGGACCACTGTGGTGGCCCCGGGCTTCTCTTTGCAGGCATTTGGAAGAGCAGTGGCTGTTGGGTGCCAAGCGCTGGCTGAAATTTCAGTGTGTAAGTAACTGGTTACTCTAAAGGAGCAAAATGTGCATTAGAGATTTTCACCGCTGCTTGTGAGCAAGCAGGCTATTCAAGTCAGCAGCTTATTATCTCTCAGGACAAGAGAATAACTGTGAGAGAGAGATCTGGGCAAGCTGCCTGGAAATCCTTTAGAAAAGGGTAGAAGCTGGTGTCAATATTTTGCAGTGCCCAATGAGAGCTGTTGCCCATCCCTTGTCCGTGTGGGTGGTGCCTTCTTGGAGCACAGCACTGAAGTGACCTGTGCATTTCTCTCAGCTGGCATAAAGTCTCCACATCACAGTGCTGAAGCACGCAGTGACGGTACAACGTTTTGTCCGCAGCTTGATAACTCAGAGGAATAATGCTGGGGTGCAGTGGGCCAAACTCATTCCTGGATTAATGCTGGAGTTTCTTCAGTGGCATTGCTCTGGCTTTGTTCCAGGGATGCTGCCCTGCAAGAAAATAATTAAGTAAGTGTGGTAACAAATTAATGAGCTTGATTACTTCAGCTCAGCAAAGATACCGTACTGGTATTATCATTATGGTTGATTATAGTTGTTTTATCAGGAGAGTTGCAACTGTACACCACTGGTGAGACCCAAGAAATGTCAGTGATAGAAGATACAACTGCAATGTATCAAGATACAACTGTCCCCCAGTACAATCGTATTGGGGGGCTCTCTAGCATGTTCCTCTGAGAATTTTTTTTTTTTTTTAATACTGCAGTGTCCTGTAAAACATTGTCATTTGAATAATAACTCTGTGGGGTTCCTTTTTACCCCATGGTTGCAAGAAGTTTGATAAAAATAAAATAAAAAAAATAAATAGCTCCAGCAAGGTAATGCAGGGGAATTTGAATTATCTTGACATTAACTTGAGATACAGAGAGAGAAGCCTGAGTTATGCTGTAGCTGCAGTGTCACTCAGGACTGGACTTTCCTTTGCTTCAGGGGTATTTCAAGGCCATATGTTTTGATTCAGCCTTGTATTTCAAGGCTGAATCAAGATTTATGCTCCAAAGCAAAAAGTTCCTCCACAGCTGCGAAGCTGGACCTTGCTGTTTAACACTTGCAGCTAGGAGGTTGGCAGTGGGTCTGAGATTTAGGTAACTTGAGTGGTAAGGGGTGCAGGTGGAGGAGTCAGCACTGCAGGCTGAATGTGCCTTGCTGTACGTAGTTAAGGCACATACTCAGTAGCCACCAAGCCTTGTTGCCATCAGTTTTAAGTTTGGCTGCTGGCTCTGTGAAAAGCAAATTATCTCTCTCTTGCTCAAACAGAAGCCAGCTTTTGGTACCAAAGCATGTGCAGAAGTGGCTGGTGCCTCCCTACACTGCTTGAGGGGCACGTTTTCTGTTGCTGTGGGAGACACGGTCCTGGGGTAGATGAACCTTTGATTTGTCCATCTTAGTCTACAGTACTTTTTATGTCTTTATGCTATATAGTTGCTGCTACCTATTTGCAGACTAAATCTGTATTTGCAAAGCATGTATTAAAGGGGCTGTTTGGTGCTGTCCTATTTTTGGCAGGCCTTGGATAATGAAGTCCCTGTGGATGTCATTCACAAACTCACAGCCATTGACAAATGGTTCCTGTATAAGATGTGCAACATTGTGAACATGGAGAAGATCCTGAAGGAAGTGAACAGGTAAGAAAAACCAACAGCCTTGTCCTAGGACACAATGGTCCTTCTGGGGATCCTTCTGCTGGGAAACCTGTGGTAAGCCCTGAGCACAGATGCAGTCAATGCTGAGAAGTTTTATTTCAGTGCTTGGAGTAAGCACTGTTGTCTTAAAACCCAGTTCACTGCCTCACCCGAACAGAGGAAATTTCTGAGAACACTCTTTTTGGTAAAAGAACTACTTTGACTGCTTAGGCATTTCACTGTTCTCAGGGATTATGGAGGTTCCGGTTTATTTTGGAAAATCCTCACTGTATCTCTGAGGCTAAGGCTGGGAATGTGGATGGCCTGCAACGAGTAACAGCAGGCTGCAACTCATGTACCTTAGGATGGAGTTTGCCGTCAAACACAGGACTTGTCCTGACTTACTACACCTGAGGGTCAAATACACTGCATTTTTTCCGGCCTGGCCAATTGATTTTTAAGCTTTTCTGCCTCGCTGTGATCATGCAGTATGTGTTGCTTTTGTGCTGCACTTTCAAGCTTCTATAATTCCAGACATATTTAAATATAAATCTTCTTCTTTCTTCAAGAAAAATGACCATATAAAACTAAGCAGGAAAGATAGCAGTAAATTAAAGCGCTGGGCTGTGTTTCAGTTCCAGCCTCTTGCTGACTTGAGCTTTCCCTTCGTGGTTTACGAGGCTGGGAGAACCTCCTTGCTGAGTTATTGGCTGTATGTTGGCCGGCTTTTCTGCTTCGGGTACTCGTTGTTTTAACCGCTTTTCACCACTTGATGGCACTGGGAGCGCACCGTAGCCAGTACATCACTAAGGTGCTAGTTAGTTCATCGGCTGTGATTTTCTGCTGCTTTGACCAGCTGTACGGTTTTAATTGAGCAGCTCTTGCTCTCCCTTGCCCCCCGAAACAAGCTGGATCTGGAGCTAAACAAAAATAAATGTGGAGGAAGATGTCGAAGAGAAGGAGTAGCTTGATTATTTACAGAAATCTGTTCTGTGGCTGCACAAGTTTCTGCCCTCTAACATCCATGTCATGTTGCATTTGTCTCGAGTGCCTTAAATATATATGTGCAGCTCCTGAGGAAGAAAAACAATATATCCAGACTTTCCTCACTGTTGGAGTGGCATGCTCTGGAATGATGCAGTTGGGACCCCAGAGGTTGGCCCCATCCCCAGCTGGTATAAATCCAGCACCACTCCACAGAGGCTAATCGTGCCGAACTGTCCTACATCACTGAGGTTGCTTTCCCTTTCTCTGCAGTGGGTGGCAGGCAATAATACTATTAGTAATGTGATCAGTAGCTGGTACCATCCCACACAGTTTTTCATCCTTCTGGTGACTAGTCAGCAGACTGTATAGCCAGCCTGCTAAAGCAAGCCCTTCTGCAGTATCCTTCCTTGCATTTGTATCATACGCAACCAATGTTGTGTCCCTTGTAAGTGGATTTGTGCAATTCAACTCAGATTGCAGGTGGTATAAATTTACTTAGTCTCATTCACTTATCAGTGCAGATTTTCACTCTGGTATCCTTTCTCAAACCTTCCCAAGGAAACTCTCTTACCTCACAACCTGCGTTGGAGGGAGGGGATGGACTGTCCGGCTGCATTATGTTGAAGGCACGTTGGCACAAAGGCAAAGAGTCAGGGAAAAACACTTCTGACCTGAACTAAGAGACTAGTCCAGTGAGCCACATCAGGAAACACATCTCTGCAATAGCCAAGGGAAAGCTAATTGAGTGATGCAAATGAGACTTGGCGTACACGTGCTCTTCCTGCAGCCAGCTGTTTCCAGTCCCTGGCATGCCTGGCATGAGTTTTACCTGTGCTACAGGATTATTTCCAATTGAAAAGAATGGGCTGTGACACCATCATTGCTTTAAATCTTTCTCTTGTTGAAATACAGTTACCAGAACCAGAAGTAGTTGCCCTGTTCCCAGCACTGTTGCTGATTACAAGCTCGCTCTCTGTTAGGTCAAATCCAGCCCTTCCTTTTTGTCACTGGATTGGTTTAAGCGTTCTTTGCAGCGAGGTTTTGGATGCAGTTGGAGTAACGTCTCTGCCAAAAGTCTTGATTTGGGCCCTGCAGAGCTGTTGTAGAGAGTGGTAACAAGAAGATGGTCTCTGCCAAGAGGAAATTCAGAGCTAGAACAAGTGGATATGACAGATAGATGGGGAAGGGGGATCAGAGGCAGGTGGAGGCCTTTGTGAGCAGTTCAGCAAGCAGCATTCACACACCACATGCTGCCTTGCATCCTCACCACATGGAGCAATTCAGAGGTGAGCAGAAGGCCTCACCGATTTATGCAGGGAATCTGCTTCCATGCATGAAAGATTGTGTGGGATAATGTTATGGGGGGAAAAAACCTTTCTGACATATAAATGTTTGTCCGTTCTCAGTGGTGTACAGGCAAGGCCAGCCATTTGCAGAGACAGTAGAGACTGGGAAGGGCACCCTCTGCCCCATTTACGTTTGTCCCAGCAAACTTCTTTCCAAAGAAGATTGGACCTGGTGCTGGTGAGACTGTATAGCTTTGTCATGCTGCAGCAATGTTTCCATTTGACTCTGCCTCTGGGCCCTCTAAGATGGAGAAAGAGTTGTTTCAGGTTATGTGATTTGGCTGCAGGAAAGCAAATGGCCTGAGTTGAATTGGGAAAAGAAAGCCATTTTGAAAGTACTTGCAAGAACATCCAGTAATATCACACACACATCAAACATGTGCCTCTGCTGTTTCTCCTGTGACCTACATATTTTTCATTTTAAGTGGAAACTTACATTGTGGTTTTTTTATTGTTTTTTGACCGATAACCTTCATACCTTCAGTAATGTAATCTTAACTATAACCTTCCCCACCCCGCACACACAGACAAACAAGCAAAACCACATATACATACACACACGGAAAGAGCAAGAACCATCCCATGCTGTCAGTCCATGAACACGCGATGGTGTATGGAGCAGTGGCAGTGCAATAGGATATGCTGTTATCAGGAAATTCTTTCCCTAGGTTTGGCCTCACCTGTCCTGTGAGAGAAAATGGAGGGCAAGGGCCCTGGAGTGACCCCACTGGCTGTTCATCACACTGACATGAAGGAGATGGAAATTTGAACAGACCATGTCTAGCTGTCTGAGGCAGTGAGGAGTGAGATGTGACCTTAAGGCCAGGGTTATGGACCCAGTCCAGAGTGAGTCAGATTTGCAGTAGGGTCCAGTAACACCATCATCCCCAAGAGCACAGCTGAAGACCAGACTTGGAAGTAACATCTGGGATGTGTTTGACTCAAGACACTGGTGGCCTGGGTGCAAGGGAAAGCCTCTTTTGGAATTTGCGTCTGTTCTTTGACCGCCTGCAGTGAGGATTTGTTTGCATGTGGCCATGGCTTATTTTAATCTGTTCCTGATTTTGTGATCCCTGAGAACTGTGGCTGTATGCAAGGAGAATATATGACAAGTACCATTAAATATAGGTAAAGAGGTAGACAGCTATGGCGAAATCATCACTTACGCGCAAGTGACGTGGGGACAAAAGCCTCGTTGAAAATCAGTAGGACTTCTGCTCCTAAGTCACGTAGGCATCTCTGTAGCAATTGAACCAGCAATTGATTGTATTTGCCATTACTTGGGAGCTCATAGGGATGGGGGAAAAGGAGAGGTAATGGGATCAAGTTCACTGCTGGGGAAAATCTGAGTAAGACCCAGGGAAGATTGGGTCATCTTGCAACAGGCAGAAGTGTGAGTATATTGCCCAAAGAGGAACATTTCAATATTCATAAAAGGCTGTAAAGTAGAATTCAAGTGAGAAAAGAGGAGCATGATAAACCCCCATTTTGCAGTTGAGGAGCAAAGCATAGAGATGGTAAGCTTGCACAAAGTCTCAAAGACAGACTGGCAGAGCAGTGAACTGAACTCTGCCTTCTTAAATCTCAACTCTTCAAATTAACCTTAATGAAAACAGCAGATCTTCTTTTTGGTGGATACCAAACTAGCCAGCCTACTAGCAGTGGGAACGATGGCATCAATCATGTTTTGATAACTTTATACTTTGGAGCTTTGTTTTGGGGGAGAATGTGTCCTTGCTCTGTGGGCATTGAGTGAAAACACCTTCTGGCCTGTAGTTTGCTTGAAAGGAGGAAGTGCAATCCTGAGTATTGCTCTTGTCGTTCCTAAAGAGCCACAGGTTAATAGAAGGGAAAGCAGAAAAAAGTGGGAGGGTGCAGACCCACTTCAGCCCAGCATTTGTAGCCAGGGGCTCTGCTCAGTGGCCCATGGAGGAAGTTGTTTAGTGCGAATTATTTTTCGAAGCTCATGTCCTTGGGTCTGTGAAAGGTGTGCTTTGAAAGCTGCTTGCTGGAAGCATGACTTGATTTCAAAACACGACTGTGGTGGAGTAGCCACAGAAATACAGGTGCTGGAATTAAAACCTGTCTCCAGCAGGTGACCTAGGAAACAATGCAGGGAGGAAAGATCAGACAGGCCATCAATAACCTGTGCTCTTCCACAATGGTTGTTGCACACCCGCTCTTCTCAAAAGCAGTGTTTCTGCTGACTTGCTTGCTTTTGGGACAGGTCAGAGAGCATAAGTCAGATCTTGTGTGGGTATAAAGCAGAGCAGGTCCAGTGATGCTAAACGAGGCTGCACTGATTTATACTGTTTGAGGAGCTATCACTGACATATTTGTAGTACTTGCTTTTAACTAACTGGGAAGATTACTTTTGTCTTCTTTGTGAACTGTGGGGCAGGGAAGACTCGGGAACAAATTAGGAATTCAGTACATGAGGAGAATATAATACAAGCAGCTATTCAGCACTGTTGTTTGTGCTTTGTGTGGATCTAACATAAGATACTTTCTGTTTGTCTTATAGAGCCATTTGTAATAATTTCACAGCTGTATTTTCTTTCAAAGCATCTGTACATTTGTAAAAATGCAATATGCATTTTTTCCTTGATACAGAGGATATACAGAAATTGCCCTTTAAAAGCCACTGGGGAATCTCTGTAACTGATATGT